AGCCACTACTAGTACTACAACAACAACAAATACTATATTGTCTCTCTGTTAATTGATTGCTTAAAAACAATCAATTTATCATCGTAATCAACACAGTCATTGGTATTATTATTATGATGATTGTTGTTGTTGCTGTTATTGTTGATCATGATATTGGTAGTAAGACAGCTATAGCACAAAACAGGCTAAAAGGTTACACACTATGATTCATACTTTAGGTAACGATTATAATAATGACGATAATGAAAACTGAAGACACGAGATAAAAAAAAATATTAAGAATAAGAATACCCCACCTACTTTGAGATGGTTATTATATAAAACAAAAATAGATGAATGATACTGATGATGAAGTGAATCAATGGATTCTTTCTTGCACACAAATTAAGAAAAAAATGTTCCTATGTAATTTGTATGTTTATTTGCTTAGTTGCTTACTATACACCTTTTTTTTATCTTCTCTCTTCTAGATAAACGCATAGAATTAAATAGTCTATCACTATATATAGTAGCACTAGTGATTGTAATTATGATAACACACTAGTGTCGTCGTTATTAAGGCATATGGAAAATCAATTTACTGCGATAAAAAGTATTGTATGCATTGGTTGTATACAAAGTATCTTTCACCTGGATTACCTGGAGTAATATGGACAATCTGATGCTGTTAGGCTATGGATTTACAAAAAGCTGAAGTTTTTTTTCTAAAATATTCTGTTTAACGAAGGAAGTAAAGCCTGAAGCCTGCTTTTGTGCATATGGAAGAAGGAAGACAATGTTGCCGGAATGATATTCACAGAGACTACTAGTTGTACGCTAGGGTCTGAAGTAGTGCCATGTGTAAATAATATTTTCAAGTATTGGTTTTGTAGGGATTTTGTTTGATTGTATGGAGGATTTCATCATGAAGTGACATCATTTACAGAATCACTGGAAAACCTGGGAGTACTGGACAGCTGTTTCGTCCTAGTTTGGGACTCTTCATCAGTACGCACCCACATTACAGGGTTCGAACCTACGACCTTCTGGTTACAAGGCAAGCGACCTCGTACACCATTAAGCCACTGGGATCCGATCCAATGGTCCTTGTATTCTAACTTCTGCCAATTCACGACACAGCGCGACCATTTCGCAATGTCTTCTTCGATGAGTTACTGCCTAATCTTCAACCTGCTGTACCCTACTGGTCACGGCCCCCCACTAGAACCCCAGGTTAACTGCCTGAATAGGGCCAGTCGCTAGTGAGCATCAGATTAATTTCCAAGTATTTGTTTTGTGGGGATTTTGTTTGGTTGTATGGAGGATTTCATCATGAGCTAATATTTCATCACGATAAATAATATTTATCAAGTGTTGGTTTGCAGGGATTTGATTGGTTACAGATTTGAACACGAGTAGACATCATTTGGAGAACTATTGGAAAATCAGGGAGTACTGGAAATCTTTTTCGTCGTAGTTTGGACCTCTTCAAAGGTACACCCTCCCTGCAGTTCGAACGCAGGACCTTCTGGTTACAAGGCGAGCTCGTAGACCATCTGGACACCAGGACCCGATGGAGTGGCGCATGAATTTCAGCTTCTGCCAATTCGCAATATAAATGTAGCGCAGCCACCAGCCAGTGTAAAAGGTAAATAACTGGTCTCTTATCTGACTTGGAGGATCCTGTTGGTTACGACTTCTCACTAATTCGTATCACACTAGTCATTTGTTTACTGGTCGAATTCAGTCATGAATATAAAATACTCATATTGGCATTTTTCCCCTAATCTGCACTAAATCTTATCCCGATAACATTTCTAACTAACAAGCAGTTAAAGAAATGACTGAATTACTCAATAGACCAAATAGCTTGTTTGAGATATAAATTTTAAAGAAGAACAATCAAACAGAATTACAATTTGATCTACAGCCTACATAGGATTGGATTAAGTTATCACATTAAGCACAAGATGACCAAAATACATCAAAAGATTTTACACTAACTAAAGTTAGCTGGTATACAAATAAACTATAGAAAAGATGAAGGTAGTCAAAGTAAGGCATTATATACACCCATCACGTATCTAACCATTAGTCTGAAGAGTACGAAGAAAGGTTGAAGGTGTCTTCGAGATATTAGTAATCAACGGTCAGAATGTTACAGCAATGTGGCTCAAAGTTAATTAGATTTATGGAGATGTATTTACTGCTTGTCACTATAATAATTTCAAATATATTATCAGCTATTATACTACTACCAACCTTGCTTCCAAAACTTGTTAAATTGTTTTAATATCATTCTACTCGTATTTACTTTCTCTGTATATGCTGTTTGAATGCTTAACGCCTTAGAATGACACACTAATATGTAAGCTTCTACATTTTGACATGTCTGGCAGTCTAATTGAAAAATCACATAGGTTTTAAAGGGAGTACTGAAAAAGTTTATTGTACCAATCAGAGTAGTCAACTCCAGCTCGTGCAGTCAGATAAGACAGTATGAAGAGCAACTTATCTGAGATGACAAAAACCAGTGATGTCCATCAGTAGCGTTAGTTGGGAAAGGTAAGTCAATGGATTAGGTTGTGAAGCTCCATCTAGCGAGATTGCGGAACCCTGTTAAGAATTCTCAGACACCACCATCCTCATGAATAACTCTTTGCAGAAATGGACTGTGTAAACATAAGCAACTTAATACTAGCCTATAAAGCTCACTATATTTTAACTCTGATCAAAATTTACTTTCATGCTTCTATTTATATACTAGTATGGAATATAATGGGTATATGTGGCAATAGAATAAGAAATATTTTCTAAACCTGCCTTTTGTGTTAAAAAAACAATAGCGCAAAAGACATTTAGGTGAGAATGGTAAAATTAGTTCGCTTTGAATTTTTACTTTAGAGATCCAGTTAAGTGACTGTAGTAAGAAAAAGTTGCAGAATGTGGATTGCTGCCTTCACTTCAGCATGATAACCACTGTTCGAAAAAATCGGATAATAAGTCTATGTTATGACTGTTTTGGCAAATGTGAAACAACTGCAAGAATATAAAACTTTATAAATCGCAATTTACGCACACACACCTAAGAGTAGCGAATAAGACACTAACGTTCTCCGTCATCAAAATTTAAGACTGGAACCCATAGACCGTGATGTAGTACGATTCCGCATCAGATAAGTTAATCTGATACCTGATTTAACATAACTCACTACTTTTCAGATATTGTTACTTTTCATACACATTGATTTATTTTTCTGATAATCACCAATATTTCTGACTTTTATCGGTGGTAATTAACGTTATTTAATATAAACTCCCTAAGTAAGTGTACAACTTAGAAGTGAAGTTACAAATGAGAATCTGTCTGCTAAGTTGTGTGTCCTCAATTACAATTTTGACTCATTTTTATTATATAACGCTTCAATTCCCTTATAGTTTCCTTCCAGACATTTGAAAACACTTACAGCTTCTGAAGTTCAAAGGATTTGAGGTATTTATTTTTATTTATTTATATGATCATTCTATAGAAGATAAACACAAAAATTCAGAGTCCTTAATGAAAGTGTAGAACTTGGGCACTATGGTAGAATGTAAATCCATACTGGATAAGGAGTGCAATAATCGAACATCTCGTCAATACTGGTCATTCCATCTCAACGAACGCCTCCTTCAAAGTAATCTACAAAGTGAAGAACAACCTTCCAAAGACAGTACGCTTCCGTCTTCTTTGCATCGCAGAAGCCCTAGCCATCCAGTTGGAGGAACCAGAACTATGCATACAAAAGAAAATTATCCAACCACTTTTACTCGCATGGTAACTACTCCTTTGATTTGACCTAACTTTTCTTTGTTTGTTTGATTTGACCTTACTTCTGTTTGTATGCTTATTTTTCTAACTTAAAACCCTTGTGTAATTCTGTATATTATTTTGTTTCCATGTACACCCTTTGAGCACAACTCATTCATCAAACTATTCATGCCATTACGTAACTCTTATTTAACAATCATTTATGACAACTCATCACTTTTGTTGCTATCCTCTTATCAACATCCAATTCATCTGAACCTACTAATTGTATTTTCGTTTGACAAATTTAATGTATACACACACACAAAAACATATATTTGTTATAAAAATCCAAAAGACTCTCATTTTTAATATTTTAAATATCACACAGTGATACAGTATTAACAACTGGATGACAAAGTTTCGAGCATAAATTATTGCCACTCATAGTCATACCGATTTAGCCACACGTTTTCACAATTTGTTTCATATAATATATATATATATATATATATATATATATATATTCTGTCTCTCCAACTTCATTTTGTTGTTTGCGGCCACTTTCCATATCTCCGGTATGAGCGTTGCGTCATTCCAATTGCATGTGTATTGTATTGAGTCGATAAAGAAAGCTTCAGTGATTAACTTCTTTGTCTCTCCACCTAACTATATTACTTTTTAATACTCTCACTCTGTCCCACCCACTCTACTTTGTGATTACATGTAGGTGAATGCAGCGCAATGGTTGAGTTTTTTACTAGGTTATTTAATTGAACGGGGTCAATTATTCTAAGTCTAGCTAAATTTTTATGTTCCAATAACCTAATTGACCCTGATCTACTAGTTTGACTTATGTAATTGACTTCACAATCATTGCATGATGTTTGGTATATTATATTATTTTTCCTAATTGGATTTATTGAGTCCTTAAGCCGATAATCTAGAGTCCTGAATAAAAGTCTTGCTAGAATATATTCCATACATATCCCATACATGAATTTTAAACAGGCAGCCAGAAATCAACTATTGAAATACGGTTTCACATTTGAGAAATATCCTCATTACTTCTTGTCAATCTGCGAGACGGCAGTATGCACACAGATTTCAATCAGAAGGATATATGGAACCATTAAGTTAACATGACAATAAAATAGTTAACATTACTATTACTATTCGTAACTATTTTTTATCTATTAAACATCATAATAACTGTAATAGCTAGACTTACTGTTTCTTCTTTTAAACTTCGTCTTCCACTTTCAAATGTTTTTCCAACAAATACTTCACAACCAATAGGATCTGAATCAGCAATATCTGATGAATCACGACTAGATGAAATATTGGATCCTGTGCAGTGTTTCAAGGAATTGCTATTAGCACTGGCAGTTGTAACAGTAGAATTACGTTCTGCCACTTTGCTCAGTGTTTCACGATCATCAGACATAGTTGTTGGTTGTCCAGAAGTAGACTTATGAGATTCTATTGCATTAACTTCTACAGATGATGATGACGATGATGATGTAACAGCTGATAATACGTTGGACTCAGAATTAGGATTATTACCAGGTAAGAATGTACCGGAATCTAATTCCATTTGGCTTTTTATTGGTGTATTTTTGGGCGGAGAACAAATAAGAAGGAACTTTTTTCTACAGCCATCTGAAGAATTAGATTTATTTTCCTGTGAAAGGGATGCTGCTGTTGCAGCAAGGCGCTTAGGTGTCTGACCAATTGACTTAGCTCCAAGCATAGGTGACTGACGTTTATTTGAACGACTTATTCTTGATGTTGCTCCTGAAGTTGTTGTGGTCGTTGTTATTGTCGCTGTCGTGCATTCCTCAAGAGAACGACTCATTGTTTGATCGTAATTTGTTGAAGATTCACCGCCAGTAGATGGCTGGTTAATACGATCACTATTACTAGAAAGTGTAGACTCCCACAATGCCTTAAACTTAGGCTTTCCTCGTGGAGTTGATGACATAACAAGTCCAGGACTAGTAACTGAATTTGTAGATAGATTAGAATTACATGTAATAGACAATGGAGATAAGGTGGATGTCTCACCAACTGAATTTAAGTAATTTCCAAACGATGAAGAACTGACGGAAACAGATGTATTGGTTGTAATGCATGGTCTTGAAATGTTAACAGCGGCTGTTGAAGTTGTAGTTGTTGTTACTGGTGCAGCCATCAATACAGTCGAACCATTTGCAGAAACATGAACTGGATAAACTGTAAGGCTTGTTTGTCCCAAGCTTGATATAAGAGGTGTAGCAAGATCTGAAGTAGAATTAGATGTTGTATGCATCAATTCACCTACGGAACTACTTGGGGATACAATTGTTCCAGATGTAGTAGATGTACACAGGTTAGGAGAAAACTGAAATGTGTTCGACTGTTGAACTGTAGTCGTGGTAGACGGAACAGAAACACTGGGTGGCCACTAATAAATAAAAAGAAAAGAAGTAAGAAAAACGTAGATTAGAAATATACTAAAATGACGAATACACTTGTACCAAGATAATTATAAATACAATAAGAAACAAACAGGATAGCAGAGAGGTTGGAACCTGTAGTTTTAAAGTTCTTTGTTAGCTGCATCATCTTGATAACCCAGTTGGTAGGTAAACCGTCAAGTTAAAAACCATCCAACTCCAAATATTATTTCAAAATATATGAAAACATGTTATCAACAACGAAGATAAAGAAATGATGGCATATATATATATATATATATATATTATGGTGTAACTATAAGCTCTCCTCATAACCGGAAGATCCTGCGTTCTAACCCCAGGGAGGGTGTTTTTGATGAAGAGTACCAAACTATGACGAGAAAGCTATACAGTACTCCCTTGTTTTCCACTGGTTCTCTAACCTATGCAAACTTGTGTTCAAACCCGTAACCAATCAAATCCCTGCAAACGAACACTTGAAAATGAAGGTATCCTTATTTTTCATGAAGAAAAGAATAATTTTTGTAAGTAGCAATCAAACCTTTATTTTATATCTGATCAACCAAACACACTTGTTTATTAAAATTAACAACCAAATACACCTTTTCTGATAAGAATAGGTAATTGAAATCGTGTTGTATGAAGACAGATTTAAATATATTTACTGGATTATAATTTACATGCCTAGCACAATGAACTAACAATGCACTAGTGCCATTACGTATAGTAGTTTATTGCTTGCCATACTTTTCAAAGAAGTATCACTGTATTGTAAAATAATATGTCAGTTAAGCAGTAGTTAGCATGCTTACACAATATACAAAGTGATGATATTACAATAATTCTAACGAAATAAAAAAGAAATTCTCAGATACTTTATTAATAGCGCTGGACACTGGCAAATATTAATTTTATGTGGGCCACTACATACTGTATCACAATAATATAAAAAAGGAGCATCAGGAATGTATCAGGAAGAAAGAAAGTGATTGATGATTTCCATTAGAAATCTTGAATTTTTTGAACCCCCAACCATAATGAGACTTACATCGTATACCTTACACAATCAATTATCTTAAAATGCAAATTTATGTCGTGTTTTCACTTAATAAATTACATAATAATGAAGTAATGTTTACTGAATAAAGTTTCAGGACCAATTTATCGCCCATACGTAAATAAACATGTACTCAAAACGTTTCTCAGTTGGTAGTACTTTATCTGTGAGTGCTTTATCAGGTAAGTATAATATTTTGTTCCTCTGCCTTCCGAGTGGAATATACATTTTCGAGCTTCAGCTTTGAAGTTCCAGTAGTACTCTCGGTATTCTTTATTAAGAGGTGTGTTTTTGAGCCTTACGCCAAACCATCTCTCCTAGTCAGGCTTATCACCAGCTAAGTGAGGTTTAGTAGTGCATCCACCGGGGATCTATCCCTGAACCACATGCGTGGTTGGCTAGCCATCTACTGCTGCACCACTGACGTTATCAGATGAACATCTCTAAGTCTAACACTCATGACATTATCTCACTTTTGAGGCATAACACCTTAATGGATTTTAGAATAAGCATTATTCAATAACAGTGAGACTAATAAAAAATACAAAAAGAGTAGAAATGAAATGAAAGATACTTATGTGTTAGTTACATCAATGCTGTAATAAGTTGGAATGAATTCTGAAGATAACGTGACTAAACAGACTGAAATGCCGTCGGAGAGAGGTATAATACCATGGTAATTCTACTCCACTTCTGAGATGAATTTGGGGGTGTATGAAACGAAAAGAACTGAATTGTAACTTGGTTTCGTGTCTATTTTCACTTACTTTTACCACAATTTCAGTCACAGATTAACATTATTGTCATTTCAGTTTAAATGGTATGTGTTGTGGTAATTCACCACAGAAACTGTTTATGATTTTCAAGAGATAGTTTGTAAGGATTAGATTTGTCTTTACGAGTGTATCCATGGATTGATATTAGTCAGAGGACCAATGGAAAACCTAGAAGTATTGGACAGGTGTTTTGTCATTGTTTGAGAATCATCGGCAGTACTCACCCACCAACAGGGTTCGAACCCAGGACCTTCTGGTTACAAGTCAAGCCAGCTCGTATACCATTCAGCCACTGGGACCCGATCCAATGGCCAGCCCATGAATTCTAACTCCACCAGTTCGTGGTATAGTGCGACCACCAACCAACGTCATCAGTGGGAAATCCATCCTCACATCTGACTGGTTAAACCTCAGTGGTCACGACTTCTCGCTAGAACCCCCGTAGCAAGTCACTAGGTGGGAGCATCAGATTAATTTTCAAGAGTTCGTTTGTAAGGATTAGATTTGTTTTTAACGAGTTTGACAATAGATTGATATCAGTTAGAGAAGCATCGATTTATTGAGGTAAAAAATTCAGTTGTTTAAAGCAACATAATGAACATTTACGAAGAATACTTTCAGTGTTTCACAATTTTGCTTTAGACGGACACAATCGCAGCAATTAATTTACATTATATCCTTTTCTTGAAAAGAATTTATCACGCTCAATCAATCCCCTATTAGTTTTATTTCCATTTCAAACCATAACTGTGTGTTGAGTTGTGTGCTAAAACAAGTAGACTGAAAGTCATAACAGATACCAAACATAACTTCATTTTTGTCAAAACCCAATCTAAATAATGAACACATTTTTCCTCAATTGTCCAGCTTTTATGGAAGATTGGATGACTAACAATAATGAAAACCAAAGTTTATATCCCCCTTTAAAAAGCTGCTGATACGTTTTACGGATGATTGGAGGTCAGATTCAAATTTTCATCTTAGATTAGCAGAACAATGCTGATGTAATGGATGATAATTGAAAATGAATTAGAAACTTGGTTTAAGACAGAATTCCAACCAGAGGTGGTCTTCACACCACTAGCCTACAGTTTTATCAAGTGAACTATGCAACCTAGTTACTTCAACCAGGGGGAGTAGACGTGCTTTCTTATTTCAATGTTATTTGTTTAGATAACCTTAAGTTTGTTATTAGAACACTGAAATCATGAAAGTCACACTTCCATTTGCACGGTGAACAATATCACCTTATGAATCATTCTGTTGTTTTACTTCTTCCACTCAACACACCCAAAATTAATAAGCACAGATATACACACATTTGAACATGCTCATCAAAGATAAAACAGTTTAAGCAGCCTTAATAATGGGATATGTGGTCACTTTAAAATTTAACTAGAATATGACTATATATATATATGTAATACACATAATTTGTCATTCCAGAAAAAAGGCTAACTAAAACAAAACAATGCTACCTAGCAACAGATCAAACAGATTGTTATAGGCGTGGCATATAAAGCATATGAAAAGAAAGTAATTATAGTCATAATAACAATTGACTCTAGTAATGTTAAAAGTCTATATAGTAGTATAGTAAGGGAGATAGCATTTGAGAACATGAAAAGTTACACAACAGAACAGTGATTAAGTTAGTAAAATTATATCACACGACATTTAGTGAACAGTGTTATAAGTACTCTGAGATTTCAGTAACATAATGTGCCACAATCCAGTGTGAATAAAAACATCTCTAGTATTTATTAGAAGGTTACATAAATCAAGTCACTGTTGAGTATAGAGAGTAAAACTGTTGCCTTTCTTTGAAATTTAAGTCTCCAACAGTAATAAATAACAGCACATTTTCATTTCAAACAGATAAAATATCTCAGCTGAATAACTTAAACAGTCGTGTGCCTCAATAATTGGATTCATTATTTGAAAAAGACATTAAGCTGTGATAAATTTAAGGCAATTGACTAACTTCAGACGCTAAACTGCAGCGCCAAAAGAGTTCCTAAACAAACAATGCAAGACGTAGTGACCTTTCTGAGACATAAGTATCTAAATAAACCAATGAATTTACTCTGCCTAATGACATATGTAAATGAAATGTCTAGAAAAAAAACAAGACATTTGAACAATAATTGATAAATATTGTAAACAATAAACACTTATAAACAAGAGAACCATAGGAACTTCGATGACTTCAGTTTTCATCATAAGACTGGGACCATATATGTGGAAAAAAAGAATATCACCACGGTATATTGGTGATAAAAATTTGCTAACTTTTAACAAATGATGAGATACATTGTCTGTGTAACAGCATTCTGTTGATAAGCATAAGCATAAGCAAAATATATCGAGAACATATTCTAAGAAATAGACCACCTAAGTTTAAATCAGGGAAAACCACCACTTATTTATCTTCAGCACATAGCGACTACTAAAAGGCTACTAGGAGATAGCACAGGCAAAAAGATCCACAGAAAAACTTGCACATAAATACATTATTCAGTTTGTCACATTTCAACGTGGAATGTGGAAATGAAATAGGTATAAACATCATGGGTTTGAAAATAAACGAATGTGAGTATGAAAGGAGAGAATAATTAGAGAATGAAGATTCCTCAACATCTCACAAATCAAATGTCTACATATTCAACAAATAGCAAATCTACTGAGTTTGAAAGCCCAGACACTATCCCTTCACATGGATGAGACAAATCAAATTTCCGTATTCAAAAAAATCCACTTCGTCAAGCTGATATAAATTAACATTTAAATAAGATAATGTGAAGTAGTGAAAAACACAATCAGTTCCAACAGCATACAGTTCTCAAACATTCCCACAGTTCAATACTGCGTTACAAAAAGAATACCATATGTGCATTTGGACATTCTATTTCATTTCAGAAACGAAATACCTTTTACACAGTTCAACACTGAGTTAGCAACAGAACACCATAGATCTTTCTGAACATTCTGTTTCACGTCATTTAGTTTAAACAAAAATCACACGCTCAATGACTGGTTGGAGAATATAAAACTGCACATACATTAATAACGGTATGATCATTTTAAAATATACATTGGCTTCCGTACTAGCCTTTTGCTGTTACAATATGAAGTATATGCAGATGGTGTATAG